GCCGCTCCATGTTCACCCGTTACACGGGTAACACCGGGAAAACCGGGAAAACTGGAATGTCACGCCATACTTCGAAGACTCGGCGACGTGAGGAACGCAAGCGTGCTCGTGGTAAGAAGGGCACCGTCTACGAAGAGGAATATCTCGTCAATAGTATCCGACGACTCATTGAACGGGTTAACTCGAGCGTGGCGGAGACTGAGACCCTTGTCGATGCTCTGCTGCGTCGCGGCATGCGTGAGCGTGCAGCTGCTATCGAGAAGGCATTGCAAGAAGTCTTGACTATGTGCGCAGATTGCCGGGACGAGGTATTTGAAGTTCCTCCCCCCAATGCAGAGAATGCGAACGAGGACCAGGGAGATGAAGAAAATGATGTCGAGCCTATTATCCCTCCTACTTACGGAGGCAGAGGCGCCGGCGTCTTGAGAGAAAGTATAGCTATTGTTGAGGGTGGTGGTGCGGCTCGCGTTAAGGAGATCCCTGTCGTCAAGGAGATGAAGAAGTCTTCTCTGCTGGCTTGAAGTAGTCGATGATATACTGCCTGTTCCAATTAGCATCTAGATCATGGAATGAAAAAAGAAAAGTCGCTTCCGTTCTAATAATTCCACCCACAACAAGTATGTAGCTTAAGAAAGTGACCTGGGATATATACAACATCTATCTTGAAAATGTATTCCAAACGGCATGAGGCCTCTTCAGACGCCCTTATGAAGTGAACACAAAAGGGAAATTCAGCTCTTGGTACGGAGCACCTTTGCCACAGATTCCTACGAAGAGTATCTACTTCGATCCACGGGTTACACTTGTATGACTTCCTAGCAGCTTTCTACGAGATAACCCAAGGGTCCCTGTCCTATGTTCTGCGAGTCATACATGACCCCCATAGCAGAAATATAATACCCTCAGCAGCGGGCTATTCTCGACAGGACTGGGCCCGAACGTTGCCTTTTCACATTCGTGGGAGAGATTGAGTGTCACTATTGACTGGATATCCTTTCGCAACGGACTGAGTATGTGCATTTTGGGCTATATGCTCATTCTTCTAACGTTGCCTTTGCGTTTTTTATTGAGGGAGCTAAGAATATAATAAGTGCCTAGTATGTACACTTAAGGATGTTAGTGAGTGAGGTATATCTCCTTGCATGGAGGTAGTTTGATCTAGCTTCGCAGCCATATGTATACATGTCCTCAGGACAAATACTGAAAGGGTTAACTGCAAGTCTATGTTGCACCAGTGAACTATGATGGTTCACATAGGGAGAAGCGTAAGTGATGCGACTCCAAAGTGCGGGGAATATCCTGAAGCAATCAAGTCAGATACTATAAACTACATCTGTCGAGATAAAGTAGTACAGTAGACACAGTTTTCTCACTGGATGACGCAAAACTGACACATATGCTGTGCTCCCCTGAATGGCTAGTTGTCAAGTCGATTGAAAGGTTGTGTACGAAGTATCTAAGATGGGGATATAAAATAGACCATGTCCCACATCTGAATACCAGGATTGCAGCGAGGAAAGGACACCAAAAAGAAAAGCCCTAAGCAAGGCCGTTCTTTTTCAAGAGCCGTAAGTGAACCTGTCAGATTACCTATTGATCTATTAGCAGATGTCAATCTCTTAATGGCTTGATCTAGACTATGCACCTCTCTATCTCAACATATCTCACTTCCCTCTTGGGCTTGGGCACGCTAGCGACAGCCCAAATTCCAAACAGGTCTATCAAATGCGTTTGCGACGGTATCACCGAGAACTCTCAGTCTGCGTGTGTTCAGACTGGCGGAAGCTTCAATGCTACCGGCTGTGGATTTGCTGGTTGTTGTGTCTATGCCAACAATGAACAACTTGCCTTCATTGAGAATTGTAGGACGCTTGGATTTGGCTTTAGGCGCTGCGACGATTGTCGTTCCTGTTGAGAACACAGGAGATATTCGCCGGCTGGAAGAATAGTAAGACAGATATTGGACTTTTGAAGTTGGAAACCAACATTTCATTGATTTGCATGCAAGTATTGTGTCGTAGCGCGTCATGTCTAAGATATATTATTATGAGGAATGGAACCAGATGTGTTGCTTTAGTGTAAACCGAGACCCGCTGCCATGGTATGATTATGCTCTGGATTATGAGAGAGAAAAGAAGATACAGTGAAATGAATATCTGCATCAAGCTTGCATGGCCAAGTCGAATTGTCCGCACAAGAACGGTGGGGTATCTTTCAGGCTGATAGACCTTCCAAGGTTGGCCAAAATGGGAATACCCGCTGCCCGGTATAACGTATTCAAGCCTTCTAAAGACTGCTCAGGATCTCACCAGTCTCGCTGACAAGGTGGTCCTCAACCTTGACGGGGCCCTCTCCGACACCAGTCAAGATGACACGGCTCACACCATCCTTCAGAACTTCAACGGCACGAGAGTCAACCTGATCCAAGGAAACACCAGCGGTGACATTGGCCAGTCTCTCGTAGAACGCGCCGTCCCAACCCTCAGTGTTGGGGCCCAGAATAGCCTTGACGGTGCCAGCCACAACCTCAGAGTCCTTATCTTCATAGTAGATGACAGCATTTGGGCCAGCATCAAAAGTATAAGCACAAACCGTCCGGCCGACAACACGGTTGATGTCGTGCACAAGGCGGACGGCAGCACGAGAGACGTCGTTCATGTAAAAAATAGGGGGCCAGGAGTCGAGGCAAGTGGCGTGGAAAGTGTTGGAGTCCCGCATGGTAATCTCCGCGAAGTCGTGGAAGTCGCGATTTTGAATGGCGGTTTCAATGGCAGCCATGCGCTCAGGAACAACGTTCTGGGCACGCTCAGCGAAGAGGGCCGAGGTAGCTACAGTGGTCTGCATTCCCTCGGTGCTAGGCACATCCTTCTTCTCGGCACTGACGACCAGAACAAGAGCACGCATCTCAGGCCAGTGGGATGCAGGAGCAACTTCCTCAGCCAGGCTGTCGCTTCCATCGGCGAGCTCACCTGTGCGCCATGCGACGTAACCACCCATCAGGGAGCGGCAGGCGGATCCGGAGCCTTGGCGGGCAATGCGGCTCAGTTCCTTAGGGGACTGGGGTAGTTCGTAAAGGTCAGCGACAGCGCGGACCAACGCTGCGAAGCCAGCCGCAGAGCTGGCCAGACCGGCAGCAGTGGGGAAGTTGTTCTCGGAGACGATCCGGAGAGGGTGGGCGGAGAGCTTGGGGAGTGATGAGTCGGCATCCTCAAGGGCCTTGCGGAGGGCACGAAGGTTGGAGATACAGGCGATCGTCCGCTTGGAAGACTGGATGTCCTGCGGGCTGCCGTTCAGGTTCAGGGTGTCCGCAGGTGGGTATGCAGCAGAGCAGGAGGCAGTGGTCAAAGTACGGAGAGAGCGCTGAGAGAGTGTGACTGAGAGGGAGGAATTTGTCGGGAGGTTGAGGGTAGTGTCACGCTTGCCCCAGTATCTAAAACATCTCTGTTAAAAACTTTTGGGTATAAAGGGGATGAGGGGTAGTCAAAGAGCGGCATACTTGATGACAGCAATGTTCACCGGAGCGGTGGTGGTGGCCCGATAAACAGACTGGCTTGATGCAGACGCCATTTTTGCTTCAGATAAATAGCAGAAAGAGCCTTAATGAATTTCTAAAGAACTATGAGAGACTCAAGGGGAGATTTACTACTTAGGGGCATTGTTGATCTGTCGGGGCGGTGAGTGGGCAAATCAATTTCTACAGCGTAGTTCTAGTTCCGCGTCGATGCGCCGATCGAGGTGCTACAGTCATTGACCTCCAATTGTTTAACAATGGGAGCTGCAGCAAGTACGCCCTCTGCGCCCTCCGCAGAGGCACCAGCGACTTGTCCCGTTGACCACAAAACCCGTGAGGTCTGGTTGCAACAAAATAGGAACTCACCTCATCCTACCTCCGATGTCCCTGCGGAACAGGGACAACCACGCCCCAAATCACAACGACCCCTATCAACAGACCGTGAAGTGAGCACTATCCCTCGAGCTGGTGATTTCAGCTCCACAAGTGCCTGCCCGGAGGCCAACAAAGGTTCTTCATCCCCATACGCGGTGTCGCATGGTAGCCCATCCAATGCCGAATCCGAGACTGGCCGCGATGAAGCCACTGGAAATTGGATCTATCCGTCGGAGAAACAGTTTTTCGAGGCCTTGATGCGCAAGGGTAACACTCCTGGATCGACTGCCTCGGCCTCAGAGCTCGCGACTTCCGTAGCCTCCATTATCCCAATTCATAATGCCGTCAATGAACGCGCCTGGGATCAAATCCTCGAATGGGAGAAAAATGGCCCCTCGTCCGACCCAGGGAGCAAGAAGTGCGGAGGACCAAAATTATATTCTTTCCGGGGACTTGGGGTCGATCCAAAGTACCTGAGTCCGCGTGCGCGAATCAATGGATGGCTTGGCTACCAGCATCCGTTTGATCGGCATGACTGGGTTGTTGAGCGTTGCGGTGGTGAAAGAGTTGAATACGTTATCGATTTCTACCAGGGCAAGCCGTCGGGAGGCAATGGATCACCATCAGGTCTGGCTGCCAATGCCAATGCCAATCCCGGGAAGCTCAGTTTCTTCCTCGATGTTCGGCCCAAACTGAACACTTATGAAGGCTGGAGGCTGAGGTTCAACCGCTTCACCGGTCTATGAAGGCATCATTGATGATCGTCTTCTGACGGAATATTTCGCACTGCACATACAAAGGCGACAACGGAGCACGGGCAGGTTTTGAGATCCAATTGGGTGTATTTTGCATGTACAACACATATATTTCTGTACGATATCAGGCTACAGGATTAAGAGACAGCGATGAATTAATGTTCTCCATCCCCCATACATCCAAGTTGGCAAAGAATGCGTAAGTAAGAAGAAAGAGGATGAAAAAGCAAAAAGGTGAGATGCTGGACTAAGGGAAGTGCAATCATGCAAGAGGGATATCGCGCGCATACATGACAATATTAAAGACGAAGACCGTGATGGTAGCCAATAAACAGGAACGAGAACAAGAAGAGAAACATCTATCCGAGGACAATTGCAAGCACAATAATAGCAAGGATAACAGCAAGAATTACAAAAAGACAGCAGGCTCTGTTGCGCGCATTCTTCTGATATCTGCTGGCACTGCGCAACTCGACATTGGCACCTCGTGTGTCCTGGGTGACATTTTGGACATTCTCGCTGATGATATCCAACTGCCCCCCTTGTTCCGTAACGATGTGCGCAACATCCCGGAAGAGCTCGTTCAGCTCTCCCACGCTTTGTTCAATGTTGCGTATCTCTGCCTCACGCTCGATGATCAGAGACTCTTGGAAGTCTACCTCGCCCTGGTTGGCCATACGATGTTGCTCCTCCACTAACTGCTCTTGTAATTGGACCTCGTTCTCAGCGGACGGTTGCTCGCCTTCTTCGAATGCTGTACGTGCAGCAACTGCAGAAGCGCGCTGTTTCTCGAGTGCACGACGCTGAATAGTTTGGAATTCATCCAAGGTGGCCTTGAATTCGGACGATAGCTTCTGCTGTGTCCATTTCTGGGAGGGCTATAAGTTGGGACGTTAATAAGAAATGTTCTGCAGTGAGTGAATCGGATTGGTCTTACATTGACATCCTCCCATGTCTGGATCTGTTTAATCCCTTCTCCTACATCCCTAAATCCCGTACGGGTCTCCTCAAGCAGATTATGAACTCGTTCGCGCACGCGCTCCGTATCGCGCTTGGTGCCGAGAAGGGCAATTTGATTGGATAGGCGAGAGATGTTTGATGTCAATGTAAATAACTGATCTGAGAGCTGCTCGGCCAGATGGTCGAAGTCCGGATCGTCACGGTACTGCGGGTCTTCATCCCGGCGCATAGTGGTAGGCTGAGCCTCCAACGAGTTTAGCCTGTCAAAAGACATTCTATGAGTAATCGAAAAGCAATAAATGAGTGCTCAAAGCGAAGGTAGAAGAGAGGTGAAGACCAAATGAGTTATCTGCAGGTCCCTGCTGCCTTCGATAAGCTGTGTAGGTGCAGACCGCCCTCACATGACGTACCATGCAACCGCTAGGTTCAATATGGACTAGCTCATGTGGCACAATGCACTCTTGAGCCACATATCACATGACTGTATGTGGCTGGTGTGTTTTGATGCCCCAAAATATTCCTAGGCGGACCTCGCCGTTGATTGATTCTATCTGACTAGCTCGACACAACCAGCTGTCAGCCGTGGCCATTCGTCAACACCGTCCCTGGTCCGCCAATTCCGTTCTCCAGCTCCCGGAGCTCTCCATATTACCGTCATTCTGATCATGCTCTAATCTTCAACTATCTCTTTCCACGAGCGCATCCCACTCAAGCTTACATCATGGCCTCTGTACAAACTCGGCCCTACAGGCGAGTCTTGACTTCGGCCTTGCACCGAAGATTTGTTCATGCGTCTGCACTTTCACTGCTGGTATCTTACATTATCGCAATTGCGATCGGGGAGAAATCGTCCTGTGAGTACATCGCAACCTTATCGGGTCGAGCCTCGAAGGCTCAGTTTCAAGTCCTGAAAGTACAAAGGACTGATAAAAGTACACTATGCAGTTTTCTGGTTATGGTTTCCCTTTGGTAGTTGCGGTGTTCGAACCGCGCTGCTCTTCATATCTTCGCTCACCATTTTTGTCCTTCGGGTCAGTCAAATGCACATCGGCTCGAGAACAGCTAACTCCTCGTTCGGCACCTTAAAATCCTTCACTCTGTTACAAATCGCGCAAACCTTCGGCTGGTACATCTTCTCGGCATGGTGGTTCACTGTAATTTATGTATGGTCATCTTCGAGTGATTCAAACCTCGAGCTTGTAAAACGGGCCAGGTACGTTGAGTATGCCTCAAATGGCACGATTTGGACTAATGAGATACAGGCCACACGAGCGACCGACCCTGAACGAAAGGCCGATTTACCTTCATTCCTTCCATGCGTTTCTAGCATGCGTGCAAGCCGTGTTCCACCTCTACTACGACTACGACCGCATTGCAGTGCCCATCGCGGAGCGAAGCTCCAAGGCCGATGACGAGCGTACTCACCCCGTACCGCCAACCTCAAAGTATCTACAGGGTGTTCTGCTGCCAGAATTAACGGCCGGGGCTCTCAGAAGCGTCACTGTTGCTGCAGCGTCACTCGTGATATACCCCATAATTTTCAGAACCTTTGCCTGGAGCTGGTCTTTGTACGTTGCCAAGCTCTTTTGGAGCTTCCCGAGATCTGCAGCCGAACCTCACAGCTTCGTTCCCTCGATTTTCCCCTACTTCTTCTTCAAAACCCTAGGTCCCGGAGTGATGCTTGTCCTCTCCTGGCAAACTGCCAATCTCTTCTATTCTGTGTTCATCGGCAAGGAGCCTTTGAAGCGGGGCCAGCCACTCACAACAGAAGCCAAGGATCCCAATGGCAGTCTTCTCAGTGGCCTCAAGGCGAAGAAGGAAATTGTCAAGATTTTTGCGCTCTGGGAACTCAGTCTCATCAGCCAGCGCGTTCCCGACCGCCGGAAGGCAATTTTCAATGAAATTGATCGTGAGGGTGGCTCGGCTTGGTCTCAGGTTCTTGCTTGCACTACCGATGTAATTAAGGCCATCAACACTCGCATCGAGGAAAGCAAAAATCCCGCGCCTGTTACCAAGCCTTTGCCGCAAGCCGGGAAATCCGAGCCTGTTGTTCAGACTCTCCCGCGACTTTCAGAACCGATCAAAGATGGCAACATCTTTACTGCTGCCCCGAAGGCTACTTCACGCCAGGACAAATTTGGCGATGCATTTAGCTCGGCGGCTAAATCCATCGGTCAGTCAGAAGACTGGACTCCTACTGCGCGAGCCCGAGTCCGTGATGTTTTCGACCGGGCATCATCAGCAATGCTTAGCCCCGAGCAGAAACAGAAATATCTCGGCTCTCCTCAGAAGTTCAAGTTACTTACTGGCGGCCCCTCCACAACTCATAAACCCGAGGACATGAACCCAGTTCTGGCGCATGTTCTTCGTTCGCCTGTCGGCCAACCTTTCCGTCAAACATACGCTCAACGCCTCTCTGCTACTGTTCTTGGCACACCAGAGTCCTCTCTATCCTTGATTGTGGATGCCGTGGAGTCGTTGACCCGACTCCTCATTGCCAGCTTGGCTGAAGATCCGTATGGCAAAGTTCAGGCCGATGTGCCCTCAGCCGTGCGACTTCTGACTCAAACTACCCTCACCCTGGATGCATTTGCTCACCAGGGTGGATTGGATGTCCACTGGACCGATATCAACTTCCCCCCATCGACCGATCCCCAAGCGCAAGCAGCTGCCCGTCTGGTTCCAGACGTTGAGATCGTGCTTGCTGCACTCCGCGGTGGTCTTAAGGATCTACTGATGGCCTTCAGGCCTTACTTGCGGGATATCGGTATCACAGGAAAGGATTTGCGGCTAGCAAAGGAGGCAGCTGGCATCGGCGGGGAGGAGGTGTTATGATCTCTTTTTTGCTGCAAATTTTTTAACGCTCACTATATCTCATGATTTCTCTTCACAAAACTTCATGTATTGCTATCTCTCGTCCTATTTCTCTGGTCCTACCGGGATTGATATCAGTGGACAAATGCATGGTTGGGCGTTCTGCTAAGATGGGCGTGGTGGTGTTGGCTGAAACACAATATCAGCTTTAGTGAATCAATACCTCTTTTCCATCAACGAGGCATCTTGAATTCCGATTATCCTGTAAAGACTTGAATAGATCCGATTTGCTCTTGAAAGTATGGGTCACATGACGGTGCGTTCTCAATCGACACCAACCTCATCGAGTCTGTCTACACGCAACCACCAAGCAGCAACAGAAGCTCTGAAGCACTCCTCGTAGCTTAAAGCAAACATTTTTATTTAAAATCATGTCATTCACAAACGTCTATCATGTGCGTCGGGTCGCGGATACCTCTGCAAAAGCATGCTTGGTTTGCTACAAACCATCAGCCAGTGTGATGATCACGCCGGATAACAAGGTATGCAACCTGACCCATATCTAGCGTATAGTGTACAAGATTGTTCTTCACTTTATTCACTATTTTTATAGATATCAAGTGGCTAATTCGCTCCAAAGGACTTCTTCTACGTGTGCCCCGCACATTTGCAAGACAAGCATTTCTGCTCTCCAATCGTCCACACAGAGGGACAAGCAAAACGTCTCAGAGAAGAGGAAATGGCCAAAGAGATCGAAAAGGTCAAAAAGGAATATGAAGAAAAACAACGACGAAAGAAAGAGCGCGAGAAGGCGTCTAGCAAGGACAATGAAGAGGAAAAAGACAAGGGCAAAGATGAGCCCAAAAACAAAGATAAAGATGCATCTCAGTCAAACACAAACGATGAAAAAGAAAGAGATGATAAGGTTCGTGTCTTTCCACGGCCAAGGGAACCAAGCAAAATACTTCGTATGAACGTGTTAACTGATTCTCCCTGCCAGATCGCTTCTATCCAGAAAGGCTCTGGGAAAGAGACAAAGCCAGATGACTCACCTCGAATTTTCTCTTTGCATAAGTACGCTACGAACATCATTTTCATGATAGTGGCTGCTAACGGCGAAACAGGAATTTCTATCAGATGCGCATCGACCGGCTGCGCAACATTGAAATGGCGAAACGCAACCAGGAAAGATTAAGGCAGCCTTCACTGTTTCCCTCTGTGCCGTCGGGAAATCCTTAGACTTTTCTTCTATCGTATACTTTGGGAGTCAGTATAGGTAGCTCGAGATAGGAACGCCATATTGGTTCGCCTATCATCATCTGCCAATCTGGCGGGCACACTGAAGCTCTGGGCGAGGAGAGCGCGATATGAACCATCGAAGGCATGTCCGATAACTGATGTCCATCACTCCGCGCGGCATATTTGATGCTCCCCAATCACTGATTATCCAGCCATCCATTTTACTCTGTTTTTTTGACCGGGTTGCGGAGGGCTGCGGAGAACAGCGGACGCAACCGTACGGAAATTTTGAGTCACACAAGCTTAATATCCCCACATCTCTTTGTCTTCTATTTCTTAGCGGACTTTCCGGCCAATTACCAGCGAGTCATACAATCTCAAAAACAGGTTAAGCCATTGACGTGGCATTGTGCCCCGGTACGAGGCGCTCCTGACTCGGACACATTCAGTCCTAGGACTTATATATATCATGGACCCGATTTATCTCAAATAAGCGAATTTCAGATCCTGCAGGATGCCGAATGCAGTAGCAAATTCTCCAAGCCGGTGACTTCCATGTAATCCGCTTATTCTTAGTGCACTTTGTCTAACGAGGCGTCCAACGAGAGTCCGTCTTCTAAATGACCACTATCGGGCAACTATATATCTCCAGCATTGCTAGATTTTTACTTTTCGTAATCAATAGTTCAGTGCCACGATGCTCTTCACGTATTGCGTGACCTTTGTGCTGTTAGGCGGGGATATAATAAGCACTAATTACCTAACTAGAGCGGCCCACGAACCCATTATAGACACTGCCTCAGCCTTAGTGCGCGGCTTACTCGGTTTGTTCCTCTGTCCTTCGATGGAACCACTAGTCGTCCATTTGCTGCGGCCTTAGGAACTTTGATGCGTGTGATGCTTCCTTGGTACACAGACTGCCATGGTACATATACCGGCCTTTATACTCCCGTCCGTGTTCGGGGCTATTTCAATGCAAGTCGATATAGATAGCCCACAAAATAGAGAACTCCATAACTACGCACTTCACCTTTTTAAGACTGTGACAGAATAACCCCAATTAACAATTCAGCTGCCTGGAAGCGATACAATCTAAAATTGTTAGAGAATCGTAGATGTCTATCCCGAACTATACGAGTCAAGTCTATCGATTGAATGCTGCCTGGCAGGTTTAGGTGATAGTGCCGCAGTAGAGCACGCGGCCAACTAAACTAGCGCAATAGATTTTAGATGCATTCAGGGAGCCTATATATAGTTCTAAGCTAACATAATAAGCGTAGGTAGACATGACTATCCTCTCTGTACTCCGTACGGAGTACGGGATGCTCTGTCGTATATTGACCGAGACCCGTACTCATGTGAGCATAGTACAAGATATGCACGTGCTGTTCAAACTTCGAAAGCAGTGTAACTCATACCGTGCTATCTTTATTTAGCTACAAGTATTTGGCAGCCTATATTTCGTAGCTCAGTAGTTGACAACAAATCTCGCCATGAGACACAAGGGTTCTTCAACGCAAAATATTCAACAGATGCGCAGATATTATACAGTGAACGAAGTGAGACTAGTCGTACTATTTTTGAATGGGAAAATCCTTAGAACATACGATTACGGGATTATTCAAGACATAACTAAACGATTGTTTTTAGGCTCTCCTAATTAGACTTAATCATAAGCTACTATACTCTGTACCTAGCATCCGTACCAAGAGACCAAGCCTATCCCAGACAAACCTGAAACAAAGTTAAAAGTGCCAGCGATCGACGCAAGGCGATCACAACCGTGTCAATGAATAAACTATGTAAAAATGGGTGTGGAAAGGATGTGGTGGACATTTGTTAACCAACCCAGACCAGATGGGAACTCCACCGGGAGCTACCCCCTGCAAGGCAAAGTGCACTGCCCACTCCCACAAGGAAAGGGCTGCCAATCACAAGATGGAAGTGACATTCATATAGTATCTCCATAGCTCCAGGAGCTTGCGAAGCAACGGAACCAATGAAGGCTTGTACACTAATTGGATCTACAACTAGTAAGAACCACACAACTAACACATCGTAGAGAACGTGTAAGTACAAAAACCTCCAATCAGAACACAATATAAGGGCTTATTTCTGGAAAGATAAAAAATACACCAATAACAAACACATACCAAACACATACCGGTAATACCAATACACATACCGACCAATCGGGAAAGCCAGGAAACAGACCCGCTTTGCACAGCCTCCTTCTGCTTCAAACTTTGGAAGTCGGCAGAAGGGGGGGAAATTGAATCGGTCAATCCCAGCGTCATTGGCGTTACGCTGATCTTTGAAACATCCAACTCGAACTGACAGCGCTTCGGTGAGTGGGGCCACTGTTAGAAACTTTCGAGAAAAGAAGACAGACGACAAGTGGAGTATACGTTTGGATCTACCCTTTGGCTTTGAGAAAGGTCCTTGGCGCGATCAACTACCTTTGCCTTCCAAGATTGTGTCTGCTAGGTTAGCTGCATATGGCTCGACTCGGCGGGATCGGACCCCGGGAATAAACAAAAAGCAAGGGCTAAGGCTAAGGCCACGAGTCGACTGATGCACGTTTGGTATGCGGTGCAGCCCTAGGGTAGGGTAAGCCCGGTAGGGTAAGCCCGTCCGGAGTTTAATTACTATGTACGATTCAAAACGGGGCTTTGGCTCTGTCTCATATTGCCGACACTGTATTACTCTCTGTCTTTTGAGTTTGTGCAAGATGCATGTTTTGGTGGGACATGCCACCTTGTCGACCAACCGGGGCGTTAGATACGAATCACAAGATAGATGGCTAGGAAGCTTTCGGGAGGACTAATGGCTTGTGCGTTTTCGGAATGCACTGATATCACAGCTGTACGGATCAGCAGGGGCATGTCGGTTGGCGTGCTGCCTAATGTGTGTCTTGCTTTTGTAGATCATGGGATGGAGCGCGGAGGAATCTCCTGTCAGCTTTAGCGGCTTGTCTGGAAAGGTCGGAGGCAGTGTTCTCGAGCCTCACTATGTCATTGTCGCTGTCTGTACGGGGTAGAATGAAATGAGACGCAAGGCAGTCATGTTCTTATGGCCAGCAACAATGTTCACTCTCCGCATGAGGCACGTGGCCATCCCCAGAGAGTGGCTGCCTCAATAATGATGACCCAATTGTGCACGAAGCGTGGGCCTTCAAGTGGCTCTCAGGTCCGAGCTTAGATGTCCCACATGGGACAAGCCCGGCGACCGCCCCTGGTTGGCACACGATCGTCCAGAACCGAATAAAAACAACCAAAACATGATAAAGAAACGTAAGTTGGAGCTTTAAGCTTTCGTAACTCGTAAACTATGTATGCATGTATGGTGATCATCACTTTTCATTTCAAAGATTGCCACGCCCAGAGTCATTAGCTGCTAGGGCCCGCATTCCCGGGGGAAGACGGATGGCAGGGTTAACTCTTGGCCCCTGAGCCATGTTGACTTGGTGTGTGATATCGACGCGGGCTTTGGTAAGACCAATGGCGGGCACGACCCAACCACCACAGCTGCATCGAAGACCTTGCCAGGCAAATTTGCCGACATTGGACCCGCACACGGGATTGGGGCAAGTGAGGCGCCCAGAGAGAGGGGCATCGTCCGGGTGCGCACCATATGTTGTATCCGCGCTAGCCTCAGCTCCCTCATATGGGAAGAGACTTGGGCGCATCCAGGTTAGGGGGTGGAGGAAAACATGACCGCAATCCGCGGTTGCTGAGGACTTGGCGGTATTTTGCTTTTCTTCCTCATGCGGGATGATGAATGGAGACGTCGCTAGTTTAGTTCTGTGATGGGTTTAGTAAATCTGGAAGTTTCTTTTTTTTTCCTCTCAGGAGTATGGGTCTGGAGCTTTAGTTGTGGGACTAACCTGCATTTCCGACATTTAATTTCGACCGTTCGACCGGTGGCGTCTTGGGACTGAATAGGCTGCTCGTCTTCAAACCGCACCGACTTCAGCTCTGGGGCACGGCCACACGCCACACTTTCTTCGACATCGCGGTGATAAAGCCAGCGCTTGTACAATGAGTGGTCAGTGACATCATCCGGGCAGCCCATCTCATGGTACAAATTCAGCTGTTCCATGAAGCCTTCATTTGGCTCACATAGGGGCCTGCTTTGACGCAGCAGCGCAAGGGCAGATTGCGGTGTGAGTGCCCCCGGCTGCCGGTGGAGCAGGTAGGCAAGGCAAATGGTCGCAGAGCGGGACTTCCCCATCGCACTGGTTCAGCAAATTAGCCACTGTAAATCTTTCCATGATGGGCGAGGCTAGGCGCGGCTTGTTGATTTCTAGACAAAGGGTCCAACGTGCAGAAGGATGTGCGGAATCTCCAGCCACGTGTAGATCGCACTTGATGGATACGCAATGACGTAGGAGGCACGAAGCCACTCAAGAATATGCATTCCACAAGAGGAAAGAGAAACGACTGGGAATCCGGAAGAAACTTTCCACAAGTGAGACTGGAGAATATGTATTCTGACTTACCAGTGCACGAGTACACCTCCACCACTGTTTAAGCCGGACTGGATGAACTTGATAGCGGTAGGGAAATGCTCCAATACATTTTCATCGTCAACATCGTCAACTCCTATGGAAAGATGTTGGTAATCCTTGAAAGTCTCCTGTTCCTCGGCTAGGTTGAGATTGAGACGCAGCACTGAAAGAACATGCGTGATATCTGCGCGTGCCAGTGCTGCTTTGTTTTTGGCGCCTAATATGCTACAACTGGCGCGTTAGCAATGAATCAAAACTGCCAAATCAGCAACTGGCAGTGCCAATCTCCAGTTTTAGCGACACCTGGGCAAGGATTGCGTTAGCGAAGTGAGACCAACCCTCCGACATAGATATTGAGGCCTTTTATTTGATTCATGGCCATTTTGAGATATGGTGGCTGCGACTCGACAGCAGTAAGATGTTTGCTGATGGCGAAAGAGAAAATACAGAATTCACAAGCCCAGCTCCAGTGCCAGTTTGATAACTTGAC